ACACAAAAATACAAACTATGAAAAACACGAGTGATTTCCCTACTAGGATACTATGAAAAGAATTACATTGTTATCCAACTTCAAGGTTGTTGTTTTAAGTCAGACTGCTGTGTCAGCCTCATAGGTGTTGAAAATATAGAAAACTAGAAATCTAAACTAAACTAAACTAAATCTAAAAATCTAAACTAAAACTAGAAACTAAAAATCTAGAAAAAAAACTATTTTAGTCATTTTAGGATTCAAGAACTTCAAAGCTTTGCTATCTTTCTGGCTGGATACATATGATGCTACTCTTCCAAAGAATTGATTTTGATTAATGTGACATGGGAGGAAGGCATTGAATGTAATTTCTTAACACTTTAAATGTGGTCCTCTGTGGCAAATTGGTAAAATTTATGCTTGGTACTCCTAATTTGGAGATATTTGTAAAATTCCTTTTGTTCTATACAAGTGAGAACAGTCATAAAGTACTTTTGCTGAGGATGCATTGTAGTATGACTTGCAAGATATACTGGTGGTAGTTGTAATATCCCCAGTCTCTCTCCTTTGTTGTAAAATACTCAATCAGACCCTTCTAGGATCCGGGGTTTATACAAAACAATTCATTCTCTAGAGGAAAAAGAATTGGGGGGGGAGGGAAAAGGAGGGGAGAAAGAGACAGAGAGACAGAGACAGACATACAGAGAAAGCATGGTATACAAGTAAAATGATAGGTCCTAAGGAATCATTTTATAGGGCTCATACAGCTAATCATTTCAGTGGCAACCCTAATTAAACATGAAATTTGTAATGAATTATTAAATATATTTACATTTTTCTTGCATGGTACATAGAAGAGAGTGGGGGCAATGCTGGAGAACTTGGATTCAAATTCCAGCTTTACAATTTAGTAGGTGGGTAGAGTGCCAGGCCTAGAGTCAGAAAGACATCTTCCTGAGTTCATCTGGCCTCAGACACTTACTAGCTATGTGACCCTGGGCAAGTCACTTAACCCTGTTTGCCTCAGTTTTCTCATCTATAAAATTATCTGGAGAAGGAAACAGCAAACCACTCTAGTATCTTTGCCAATTAAACTCTAAATTGAGTCATGACTGAAATGACTGAACAACAACAAAAACAACAGTCTGATTTCCAACCTCATCATTTAACCAAGATTACTGTCTCTAAAGTTCCTAATGGTCTTAACTTCCGAATCTAACATCATTTTCTCAGTCTTCTTTCTTCTTCACTTCTCTATAGCCTTTGAGTGTCTCAGTAATACTTTTCTTCATCCTCTTTTCCTTTGAGGTTTTTGGGACATTTCTATGTCCTTGTTCTCCTATCTATCTGACCACTCTTTTTCAGACTCCTTTGCAGTATCTTCATCCAGGCCATGTCCCCTGACCATTGGTAGGAGGTCCCATAGTTCTGTCCTGGGCTCTCTTGTCTTCTATGCTGATGCTATTTTACTTTATGACTTTATAAACATCAATGGATTCAAGTATTATCTCTAAGATGATAATTCTCAAATCTACTTCTTCAACCCAAACCTCTATACTGACCTTTACTCTCACATCTCCAACCACCTATTGGACATTTTGCAATGAAAACCACAAACTCAATATGTCTAAAACTGAACTCTACCTTTCTTCCCCAAACCTCCCCTCTTCCAAACTTATTTATTATTATGTATGGCAATACCATCTTTCCAGTTACCCAGGTTTACACTTCTCGTATTCAATGACTCCTTACTCTCATTCCCCATATCCAATCAAACGCAAAGGCCTGTCAATTTTACTTTCGTAATATCTCATGCATATGCCCCTTTTTCTCCTCTAACATTGCTACCGCTCTAGTGCAGGCCCATATCATCTCATGCCTGGACTATTGCAACAGCCTCCTCGCTCTAATCTGTCCTCCACTCAACTATGAATGTGATCTCTTATTCCTAAAGCACAGATCTGATTGTGTTATCCTCCTAGTCAATAATGTCAGTAACTCCCTATTAATTTCATGATCAAATATAAAATCATCTGTTTGGTATTAGAAGCTCTTCATAACTTGGTCCCTCTCTACCTTTCCCAGCTTCTTATACTTTATATTTCCCTATGTACTCTGCAATCCACCACTGACCTCCTTTCTGTTCTTTGCACAAGATCCCATCTTCCAACTCTGGGCATTTTTACTGGCTGTGCTTCATATCTGTAATGCTGTACCTTATAATGATCTCTGGCTATTGCCTTTCCTGGCTTCTTTTAAGTTTCAGATAAAAATCCAACCTTTTACAGGAAGCCTTTCCTTATCTCCCTTAATTCGAATGCCTTCCCTCTGTTAATTACCTCCAATTCATATAGCTTGCTTGTACATAGTTGTTTGCATGTTGTCTTTCCCCGTTAAACTGTGAGCTCTTTGAGGGCAGGAAGTGAGGTTTTTTTTTTTGGTCTTTCTTTGTATCCTCAACACTTAGTACAATGCTTGAAATATAATAATTGCTAAATATGTTTGTTGACTTACTGGTTGACTCTGGTCTTCAATTTCCTCCTCCGTATAACAGAGATTTGACCAGAATAGGTGAAGCATAATACTCTCAGTTTCTGAATACGTAAGCCTATATACATGTGTGTTCGTGTATGTATTTATACATTTACACATGTATACATATGTATAAAACAAACACACATGTGTGTACATGTGTGTCTATATGTGTATATATACACAGATATGTTATATTGCCTATGTGTCCAATATATGTATTTGTTTATGTTATAAAACATTTGATTATTTTTTCAGTGTTCTTCTGCTAGTATTTCAGTATGACTTGCAAAAAGACCCAAGGATCAGTTCTTCATCCAACTGAATCCCAGGAAGTAAATGCAATAAATTATTTATCATCTGGAATCCTAGTTCTTTAGGGCAGTTTGATATCCATTTTGAAAGATGGTATGCAAAGATGGATGGAGCTAAATCTTTAAATTGAGGGAAGTGAAACAACTATTTTTTACTTAGAAATCACAGTGAAACTATTTGTGTTATTGGCTATCTTTTCATTTTGTGATAACTTGACTCTCAGGAAAATTAGTATATCATTCCATTCAACTGCTAGACACTGAGCTTAATGGGTCACTGAGGCCTTGTAAAGCATTCTTTCCCCTCTTACCACAGATATGAATAGGGAACAACTGGGTCCAAATTTTAAAGGCAATATGAGTTAATCATTTCAGTGAAGCCCTCCTAAAATAGGATATTTGTGATGATTTGTTAAATATATTTACATTTTTCTTATGTGGGGCATAACATTTTTCAAGATTTTAGAAGTTCACAGATGGTTCACAGAATCTTCAGCAAAAACAAGCAAAAAGCCAAACCTAGATGCTTTTTTTTTTGAGGGAATCAAGCAGTCATTTTTCAGCAAAGCACTTTAGAATTTGTTATAATAATAACCGACTCCTTTGTGAGAAAACCTCCAAGTCCATTAGGAATATATCACAACTGTAATTATTTTCTCATAAGTATTAAAACAATATTTAGGCACAATGGTCAATATTTTCCCAATACTCATTTTTCCCACTTTGACAAAGACTGCTTTCACCAAAATGTCAGTTCTTTCTAACCCTACACTTGAAAGTCTGATACTTTATAAAAGAAAAAAATTTGTTCTTTGTTAAGCAATCTAGTCATTTCAATTAGTTTGTAGACCAAATGAATTTTCTTCTAACACACACACACACACACACACACACACACACACACACACACAAGTACATACATCCTCTATTGTGTAAGTCAAGAAAATAATTTAGGAACCAAAAAAATCACCCAAAAGATGGAAATCTAAAATTAAATATTTAATTAGAACTTTGATTTTGCTTTCAAGGTAGGTGGCATTGCACAGGCTATATTACACTCTTTTTATATATATTTTTCATTTTTATTATTTTTTTGCCAAAAAGATATTGTTCATTTAACAGGCCACTTGAATATTAATACATGTGTAATAGGATTGGAACTGAAAATCAGCTAGAGATGGTACATTTTACATTATTGGGAAATTACATTTTTATTGTAAAAACATGTATTTTTTAACAATTTACCTACATTAATCAAAAAATTACAGCATATTTAATAATTTTACAAATTCTTCATAAAAAATATATCTCTGTACAAAAAGTTCTTTTGCACCTACTTCATGTCAGCAGCATGTAGTGAAATGACAGGATGGATTACTGGGAATGAAGATGGGATTGACTTGATCGTAATGCCAGCGTTCTTTTTTCCCCTTTTATAATAGCTTTGTGTTGTTGTCTGTTTACAAAATATCTTACAGAAGAAAAAAAAAATTATTGCAGCTAGCCTGGAGAAAGGCAAGATGTGTGGAACAAGCAGCAGCTTTAAACAGCTTTGAAGCATATAACCTGTTTTAGCATGTTGTTCCCCCCCCCCATAGAATCTGGTCAACTTTAGGGAAGTCTTGTCTAGATACCTCAGCAAGCATATTTCCTGACTTTTGGATCAGTATCCCTTAAAGATCTCTCAGGAGACTGGGTAAAGAACTGAAAACACAGCCTACAGAAAAACTGTAGGTAAAATTCTCACAAGGGAATTAGAAAGTAAAAGTTAGATCTTTAAAAATGCTCAGAATTTGTAACTAAAGAGAAATCTGAGTTGTATACACACACATACACACATTCACTCACATACGTTCATACATTCTGTCATCTAATACATAATTTCTTTTATCTATCTCCTGCCATCTAAGAATTCATTTATATTATCTACCAACAAGTCAGGAGTGTGGGAGCAGAAAGCTTCTGTTCAGGCTCTGAAGTCAGCATTTTGCACCTTGTTTGAATGACTCCAGCTTAGATATATACATTTTATATATGTGTGTGTATATATATATATATACACACACACACACATATATATCTATGTGTGTATATATATATATATATATATACACACATACATACACATATATAATATATAGATATATCTATATCTATATATGTATATACATAGTATGTGTGTGTGTGTGTATGTATGTGTGTGTATGTGTGTGTGTGTATGACTGAGTGTGTATATGTGTATGGTAACCTTGTTCTCACTTGTACAGAAAATCCACACCACCAAAGGTTCTGATAATATTAATCTATGGGTCAGTCACTCAATTCTATGTCCTATTGATGTTATCCATTCTGTTGAGAGATACTGAGAGATGACGCAAACTCCAGAGGTGCTATCAACTCAGACATTTGTTCAGAGAATACACTGTATTCATAACAGTTTTTTTTTTTTACCAGCAAAACTGAAATGCAAAATAAAACTGGAAGAGATCCACTTGGTCTCCTTAAAAGTATATGCCCTTTCAATAAAGAGCAAGCACTCAGATGCCCTATGACTGAAAGCATTGAAGCAAAATGCCTATCTTTTTTTTTAAACCTTGACATTTTTTCAAACCTCATTTTCATACCTTGAAGCTATGCTTTTAATGGACTAATACTTAAAATCTTATAATAGTTTGATAATGGTCTAGTACTGTGTAGTATACAAAGCATGTACTTAAGAAACCTTTGTTGAATTGAATTGACTATAAATCCCCTGTCAAACAAAAGACCATTTAGAAACAATATTTCCCATTTCCATTACTTCCAATTAGGAATTCAGGGAAGGGGCTTTTCAGCGTGTGAAATTTAAATGTTAAGAACTTAAAAACACAAAACTTAAAAGTTTGTAATCATTTTATCAAAATATAGAAATCAATGCTAATGAACAGTCATCTTGAACTTCAGACCCATACACACATTCAATTTTTCCCCTGCCTTCATATTGTGGTTTTGTCCCCTTTGAATTTCATAAGAAGCATTATTTATCCTTTAATTCATAATTCATCTACATGGATTCCTGTGACTTCAAAACCATTATATTTTCTTTTCAACTGGGGGATTACAAAGCATGAAGCAGAGATGTGGTTAATAAAAAAAAATTATGTGAACCAACGTCAGCAGTGTTGCTTTTTTCCCTCAAAATAAAAAAAAAACTGGAGTATTTTGATACTGACAATTCCCACTGGGTTCTGTGTGCTAGCAGACTATATTGTCTTTCATGCAATATCAAAAAATGATGCCCCGTCAAAAGGAAGAATGGCCGTAATGTAAAAGGGAAGACTGTATTGTGAGCTAAATCTCACAGGTTTTGTGAGCTATCTAAAATAAATTACTATTCACATTTTTACACGGCAGGCAGCAATTGCTGCCAACCCCCCTGCTGTTAAATAGGATGATACTGAAAATAAGTGACTGACAATGGTACAATCAGAAGGAAAAAAAAATACTGGAAGTGAAGGTGGACTTTTTTTTTCTCCCTTTGTTGACATGCCCAATGGTTTTATCTATATAAATGGAGTCAAAAAAACTTGAATAAAAGTAAACCCAAAAATCTATTCGGTATCACATTTCTTTTCAAACTTGTGCCAAATGTGGGGAATATTTTCTAACAGGTCAACAAAAAACTGACCATGGAATGCTGAGCTTGACAATGTGAAATAATGCTTATATACAATGGACAGTGTGTAGAAACCCTGTATACATAGTTTGTATCAGAATTTTAGTCATTCAGAACACACTAGTGCAAAAAATTGTGCATCAAAAATTCTGCAATACAACAGCTGACTGGGAAATTTGCAGACTGCCCTATGTATGAACATTGGAGACATACGGTGAGTTTGTCCAACTGCAAGAGCATCTCAGCGATGTCACCAACAAAGCATTTGTAGGTGTGTGCATCTACCAGAAAGTTTTTTTCTCTTTTAGGAAAGCTTTTTTTTTCTTCAGAACATTTCTGTTCATGGGGATTAAAACAAAACAAAACAAAACCAAAAACATACTGTGGTGCTCTTGTTTTGTTATGGCACCCAAAGGATATATCCAAGTGCCCAAAAGATTGCATTGAAAGGCATCCCAGTCACATACGAATATGAAAGTCTGAGGCATTAAGTATGACAAATTGGCATGACTTGGCAGTCTTCCTTAAATGTGCCTTGATTTCAAGCAGACGCAGCCAAGCACTTTTAATCTACTTTCAAGGATGAAGATGGTGTCTTTGATTTGATCCCCAGAAGACTCTGACTGCATGTATATGCCAGGAGAAGATGTTCAAGATTACCGCAGCGAAGCCAAGAGTAGAAGGGAGAGTGGTATATGGCACCAAAGGAATTACTGCTTGTCCATCAGAGGTATGGCTATGAATCAGTCATTTTGGGGGCACTGAAGGCTATACCACTGTACAAACTGTGTTCAGAGTTGTGTCAAACCTCACAGCTTTTGCCTCTGTGGGTTTTAAGTTTGTATCATACATAGGATTTTCAAATGAAGCTTGTCCATTACTGTTTTCATGTCCAGCATAGCCATTATACTGTACTTTTGGTCTTGTTCTGAAGAGGAAGAGGAGGGAGAAAAGGAATTAATAGTTGAAAACTCAGCATTAAGATAAATTTTTTTGTTTTGGCTAGGCAATGGGATTAAGTGACTTGTCCAGGTCACACAGCTAGAAAGGGTTACGTGTCTGAGGTTAGATTTGAACTCAGGTCCTCCTGAATCCAGGGCCAATGTTCTATACACTGTACCACCTAGCTGCCCCCAGGACAAACATTTTATGTGTCATAATAATACTATATGTTAAAGTCAGGATAAGCAGTTCATGGAGAGAGCACAACACACCTGAGATTAGTTACAATAGGAATATTATAGGATAATGGAATCATAAGCTTAGAGTTAAAAATGATCTTGCAGAACATCTAATCTAATGGTTCTCAAACTTTTTGGTTTCAGGTTGCCTTTATACTCTTAAAAATTACTGAGGGCCCCAATGAGCTTTCGTTTATTTGGCTTATGTATACATACTTATATTTTTATTCAGGTCTCAACAGTTACTGTATTTGAAACTAAAGCTGCAATTTCACTAGTTTGGATGTTTTACTTTATTTTTCTTTCATTTACTTACTTAGTTATTTATTTAATCCCTACTTTTATTCTTTCTTTTTCCTCCTTTCAGTTAAATGGTTAGTTAAGAATATTCCCTCTTCTCTCAAACTTCTTTTATTTAGTAGTTTTCTTTCTACTATAAGTTTCCAAGTTTTTCTTTGTTTCATTTTTCTTCACTAATTCTCTTCCTTTTAGATTATTCAGAAATTGTATTATTAAATTAAGGGACTACATCCTTATTCATTCCTTTTTTTAATATCTTTTTTTGTGTTCATCATGGGCTTAAAGTTTCTGAAATATAAGGTTTGATTTCCACCTTCAAATTAATTTCTATGTTATTGCCTTTATAGACTGCGCTCCCATTTCTCACACTTAGAAATACCAATTAATGAGGACAAAAAAAGGGAATCATAAAAATCAAAGGTTTAGAATTATATTTATTCTAGACAAATTTTGTGTTAAATGCTCAACTCAAATTATTAAATATTTAGCTTCATTTTCCTCCTCTGACTTCTATGAGTATTAAAACAAACCTCAAGAAGTCATGGAGAGAAAGACATTCTTACTCTGTAACATTTTAAATTCTCTGGTAAAATGGAACCATATTATTGGGTTTTTATACTACATCAGGGGTTCTTAAGCTAGGTCAATTAACTTCATTTATTTTTTAATTTTAAATATTTTGATATTTTTATTTCAATATAATTGGTTTCTTTTGTATCTTATGTATTTTATTGTAAGCATTTAAAAACATTATTCTGATAAGCAGTTCATAGGCTTCATCAAACTGCCAAAGAAATCTATCACACACACACACACACACACACACAACACACACACACACACACACACACACACACACGGTCCTTTAAAAAAAAAAACTGTCAGAATTGCCTGGGGCACTGAGAAATTAAGTGACTTTCCTAGCATCACCAAGCCAATATTTTTCAGAGGGAACCTGACTTTGAAGTCTTTTCTCTGTTCATTATGTCAGACTATCACATCATAGTACTATACTAGTATCTATTTAAAAACAAAAAAAATTATCCAGTAAAATAGCTCATAAAAATCAAGGAAACTTAGAGTTAAAAGTAAACTTAGAGGCCATCTGATATGACATCTCCACTGGGAGTATGAAATCCTCTTCTACAATAGCCACAACATCTGGGCATTTAGCTCCTGCTTGAATAAAACCCATGAGAAAGCGCTCATTATTCTTTTCTTTTTTAGAAACTCCTAGTTACTTTAAAAAAAAATTCTTCTTTCATTACATTCAGTCTAATTAACCACAAAGATTCAGCAGTGTTTCTTTCATAATCTGTTGGCTTTCTTCTCTTAACTATGTATTGTTTGGAGTTGGTCAACTGGCTTTGTAGGTTGGAGAACTACTTATATCATTTTAATATAAGAAGAAGATATTGCTGAAATATTAAAATTATATACAGTAATAATAATTTGTTAGAAAGGTGACACAGTTACATTCTCAAAGATTTGACCATGATGCTTTATACAATACCTGTGTTTGTAGAGGTAAAATGCAAAACCTGATAAAATGAGCGCAAAGAATGGAACTAGAATGGCAGCTGCAACAGAACTGCTATTTGTGCCATAATAATGATTTGAAGAATCAGGATCTATACTTAAAGGACCTGAAAAAGGAAAAGAAAAAAATCTTTAATGTACAATTATGAAAAAAATCAGCTAAGAAATTAAAATTTTTAATGATCAACTCTGGTAAGCTTCTAAAAACTCTATAATCTGGCCTCAACTTTACTTCCCATATTCTCTGTATATTAATTCCCCTTACCTATTCTGAAAGCCACCTAAACTGGGCTTTTCTCTGTTCTTTACAAATGATATTACATCTCCAGTTTCTTTACCTTTTAACTGGCCATCCACCATGCTTGGAATACAGTTCCTTCTCAGTTTAGTCATAGCACTACTATTCTATACCACTACCTTATATATGGCATCTTTCCTGCTACCTCTAACTTCCAAACAATTGCCTCCTAAACAACCTTGTATTTCACTACATTATATTTATTTGTATTCTATTTGTTCTTATATATTGGTATTTTTAATTTGTCATTTACTCTGTTGGAACATGAACTCTTTGAGAACAGAGATTTGTTTGATTCATCATGTTTGAATCTCTAGGATCTAACACTGAATCTAGCAAATAGCAGGCTCTCAATAAATACTTGATTGATTGGCTGACATATAGAATAAGAGCATTTAGAGCTGAAAGACAAGTTAAAGATCATCCAGTCCAAGTCTGAAATTTCATAAATGAGGACAATTGAGGAAGACCAGAAAAACTAAATGACTGGCTTCTGGTAACAAAAACAGTAAGAAAGCTGAGGTTCAAACCCAGGTTTCTTTAATAATCTTGGGAATACTCTTTTCACTACATTCTGGCTACCTTTATGATACATTACTAAAATGTACAATAAAGATCATTGGATAAGAGGTTCAGAATATAAAAATTGCCCAAATAGGAAGGCACTGAGGAGTGCAAAAACATTTCTTAAAGTTTCTGACTAGTTTCTAATAATGTGAAATGACTTCAGTTCACATCAAAGGGAACTGTTTAACATAAATTAAGTGGATTTCTTCTGTGAAACCATTATAATCAAACTAGAAATCAACCTCATTTGAATGAGTCAGACCATCTTGCAGGAGGCTGCCCCATGTGAAATCAATTTTCAATTTGGCAGAAAGCAAAAATATAGTAAAGGATCATGATTTAGCTGATGCAGCTAATGTGAAGGAGATGAAATTAGGTCACAGAGTCAATTAAAATAAAAGCAGAAGATCATTGTTGAAATTTAGTGGTTTGGAAATGAGAAGGATTTATTTTCTGTGCTACCTCTACTCCCAATTGCTTATAAATAATAGAGAGGCAAGGTAGTGTAGTAGAAAGAGTAATAAACCCAAAGTCAGAAGACCTAAGTCCAGGTTCTGCTTTTGATAATTACTAGTTTTGGGGGGCAGCTATGTGGCACAGTGTATAGAGTTCTGGCCTTGGAGTCAGGAGGACCTGAGTTCAAATCCAGCCTCAGACACTTAACACTCATTAGCTGTGTGACCCTGGGCAAGTCACTTAACCCCATAGCCTCACAAAAAAAAGAAAGAAATAAAGAAAGATAATTACTAGTTTTAAAAATGCTTTCTAATCTGTGATCAGACTGTTTCATTTCAGATTCCTTTATAGGCCCAGAGGTCTTTTGTTATTACTAGCCATGTAACCACAAAGGATAAATCATTTAACCTTTAAAGGCTCATTTTGCTCATCATTAAAACACAAAAAGGCAAAACAGTGATTTTGCTGCAGTCTTTTTTTACAACTAAGTTTAAAAACAAAATAAAACATGCTCACTCCATCACCAAAACTCACTTCTGAAGTTTAAAGATCTATTCAATAGACATGTTTATGCCCCAAATGTATATATTTTCACTTCTTTATTTTCTTTTACAAATCACAATGCTTAGCATTATGATTACTTAACAAATCACTATAATTTTGAAGGAAACTTGGTAATCTGCTAATCCAGTAGAATATTCAAGTCGGCATTTTAATAACAGCATTGGGAATCATAATCTAGATTTTATTCTCTTAGTAGTTCTTAAATTCCTCTTTTTGGATTTCAGTTGTTGGAATTATCCAGATGAGGCTATATTTACATACTGTTAGGCATATATGGGGCACTGTATATACATACATACATATATGTATATATATATATATATATATGTATATATATACATGCAAAGTTGTCAGATCTACTTGATTAAAATTGCCCATTTTCTCTATATGTGAGATATATATATATATGTATATATATATATGTATATATATATATATATAAAATATATATAGTTAAAAATTAAAGGGTAAAATACATAATATTGGAGACAAGTTAATTTCACCCTAAAATATGTTTTAAAATCATATGGCCATATGCGAACCTTTGCATTGGAATTTATTATTCATACATTAAATAAATATGCATTCATTCATTCCCCATTCAAGAGCCATTTCTTATGTGTATTGTGTTTACAGTAATTTGCTTGGTGCTGAGGCAAATATAGCAATAATTGAGATAAAACCTTTGTCCTCCTGGAATTTAGACTCTATAAGATGAGAAGGAATATAAAACATTTACAAGCATGCAAGACTGAGATTTTGTTAGATCCAAGACCTCATCTCTGTGGAAACTTCCCCATAAGACAAGCACCTAAGGCACACTTTTCCATAGCTACACACACCACCTGTGGGTAGAATGGGCATATAGAATGACACATGTGGGCAGCAAACAATCACAGATTCAACAACTCCCTGCTCTTTTGAACATGATCTCATAAGTTATGCCTCTTGGATATGGAAAACCTGAGATAGCATTTAAAAGAACTGTTAGTCCATGACATCATCAGTGAATTCAGCAGTCTATAATAATTACAGAGGTGATAGAAAGGCTTTAGATGTGTGTAGAATAGTAGACCTTTAACAAGAGAACTACCGTAGAGCAGTTTGCCTTCATAAGTTTAAGATACTCTTCACTATAAAAAACTTATTACATATATATGTGTGTGTGTGTGTGTGTGTGTGTGTGTATATGCATATGCATATATGTGCATATATACAGATATGTGTGTATATGTGTGTGTATATATATATATATATATATATATATATATATATATATATATATGGTATAGACCTACATGCAAACACATACACATACACCTTATCACCTTATACAATGTAGATTTTCCCTATCTGGGTAGCAGAGGAAAATAAGATCAATTTGATTATCCCTGCAAGATTCCAATTGCTTGAAAACATGCCCCAAGGATTCTCAGGAGCTCTGGCCACATACTCATAACTTATGGTAAAGGTAGGGAGATGTATACACCATGTAGAAGTATTGGATTACTTGAATAACTACACAATCTTTGGAAACAGCTTATAAGAGCAAGAGGAACGATCAATTAAAGTCTTAGATTAGGAAAAGCTGGTTTGAATCTGTCAATCGAGTTCCAGCAGTACATATCTTCTGTTAATTTTATGAGTACCATGGTTTCTAAAAAGGGAGTCAAAGAACTTCACATGCCCAGAGAATGTATCTTTTTGTGCAGAGAACATCAGAAAAAAAAATGTAACACAACTCTGTCAATCTGTGTGATTCTTGACCATGTTCTTTCCTATAAATCTCTCAAAAAATATCTGCTAACGCTGGGCGGGGGCGGGGGGGAGAGGATATGCCTTCTTTTAGGATTTTGTTTTTAAATATTCTGTGGATGCCAGTAAAATACTTAGGCTGTTATTCTTGCCATATAACCTCTGATCATCTGATTTTCCAATAACATATTTTTTTGCTTTTGCTTCAGCTTTGCATCAAGATTATTTTAGCCGCTATGCAGGATGGACAGGAGAAGGGAAAGAATCAAAGCAGGAAAGTCAGTTATGAATCTATTATGATAGTCCAGGCAAGAGATGATTGGGTTCTAGAGTGATGTGAGTAAAGAGAGAACAGGAGACAGATTGAAGAAAGATTGTGGAAGTAGAATCCACAGGATACAGGAAATGACTGGATATGGGACATGAGGATGAGAGGAGAGTCAAAGATGATTCTAAAGTTTCAAGTACGGAAGCATGGAATTGCTAATCAATGGAAATAGGTAAAACTGAGGGGGGTTTAGGTGGGGAAAGATTATGAGTTGAACTTTGAATGTGTTGATGTGTCATAAGGATGTAGAGCTGGAGATATCCAGCAGGCAGTTAGTAATATAGAATTGGAGAAGCCAATAATGATTAGGTAATATATATGGATTTAGGAATCATCTCCATAGAGTTGATAAGGAAACATCTGGGAATGAATATTATAATCAAAGGTGAGCATATATAAAGAGAAGGAAAGATCCTTGAAGAATATCCAAAGAGAGAATGAGAGAAAAAATATGAGGCTATCAATTATCAAGTCAGGTCAAAGGAAAAGCAAGAGTGAGAAGTATCACAGAAGCCAAGGGAGGAAGAATAAGTTTTAGCAGCAAATCAGATTTAAAGTTAAATGGTCCTTAGGAATAAGCTGCAAAACAGATGATAATACATCATCTTTAATATCATTTTATGGATAAAACCATATCTTTTTCAGACATTAAATTACTTGACAATGCCAAGGAATTTGGTGGCCTCGAAGGGAAGGGCTTCAGTTAACATCCTTGGCGAGATATGGAAAATAGGTTGGCTGGCTCTTTATCCTTGCATTACAATAATTTAGGTAGAAAGAAAGATGATGATAGAGTTGGCAGTGAGGAAATGAAAGAATTTAAAAGATTCTGCAGAGGTAGAATTGATAACATTTTACTTTATATGAAGAATGAGGGTGAAGAATCAAAGATCATAGAAGCTTAGAACTAGAAGTGTTGAGGACTATTTGTACAATCTAAACTGCACGTGCACAAGAATTCCCATTAACACTTACCCAAATGCTCCTCTAGCTTGTACTGGAGGTTCATTAGTAAAAGTGAACCCACCACTTACTGAGACAGCCCATTTTCAGTGTCTAGCAAATTCCTGGCATTCAATAATGTTGAAATGTTGAAATGAATTGAAATTAAATCTTCCCTTAGTGAAATAAATGGACATTTTTAGAGCTTAGCATAACTTGGTTCATCATGTACACAGTGTACAGCAGTTGTGTTAAACTCAAATAGAAACAGCTCCCTACAGGGCACATATTGACTTAGAAAACCATAAATTAACATTATATTTGTTGTATTTTTATTTCTTTTGCTAAACATTTCCTAATTACATTTTAATCTGGTTCCCCACTTGTGAATTATGCAGGCTGCAAGGCCTTCAGTTTGGTATCTCTGGTGTATAGCATATAGCCAACACTTAAATTTTCATCAGATAAATGAATATATGAATAAATGATTAGATGCATATGCTTATATGGAAATGACAATATCACTGTCAATAGATTCTTTGGGAATCACAAGAACTCTAAAAGGCATCATGCATTATTATCCCCAAAGGTAACTGCCATTGCTATATTCCCAATTGCCCATGGTCACATGACTTATAAGTATCAAAGGCAAGATTATAATGAAGATCATCTTGTCTTCAGTTTAAATTTTTATTCTTTCTACCACACTGCCTCTCCTTTATCAGATGAATCTACACATGGATTGAGGGTATTTTTGATTAAGGTATTAGGTATTAGACAGACTTTAAAAATAATATTCTATAGCAGATCCACTTCTTTTCAGTGACACAATTGGTTGAGAGGTGTAGATATTACTATGCTTATTCTTAGTTGGATATAAAAAAAATTGTTGAGAAGAGCAAAATAATGCTTTAAAAGTACGCTTTTAACAAGGCACCTTTAACACATATTTTAAAAACCATATAGGCTTCTCTGGAAGATGTTAACTGCAGTGATAACTTTGACAGCTCTCTGATTAATATTAAAGTATAAAACAGGTATGTGCTTGCCAAAGATATTTGTCATGATGATGTAAAGATTAAATCAAAGAAGGATTCAATGGATGGTAAAATTCTCCAGATTTCTTATCTGTAGACGACACTGTGTTGATTGCATTAAGATCCAAAGCATTGCAGAGTCTTCTCAATGAGATTCATAATCTTGCTCAAGAGTTTGACCTAACTATCCACACAAGAAAAACTAAGTGGATAAAGAACACCTGTTTTAAAAATTATTATATACAGTTGGATGGATAGCCCATAGGTCCATCAGTGTGTGTGTGTGTGTGTGTGTGTGTGTGTGTATAGATATGTTACATATATACACACATAAACGTGGATGAATATGTGTGTATATACACATATTATACACAGCACACAAACACACATATATTTATATGCATCTTCTACAGATACTTTGTATGGATAACAATTTGAGTTCAGAATTGAATAAGAGCAGTAGAGCAGACTGGATTAAATTCGGGAAAGTGAACAATGCTTTTAATGACCCCAAATGTAAGGAAACTAAAGTTTATTTTTAAAAAGAATATCTAGCAGGTGCCATGAGTCATAGGATATAATAGAATCTGAAGAATTAAATTTGAAAGTTACTCAAATGGCAACAGAGAGAGGATCATAGTGGGCCCAAGTAGGCTACAGCATATTACCAATGAAGAATTGGTAGCTAGGTGGTACTGTGGATAGAGCTGGAGAAGGAAATGGCAAACCACTCAGTCCTTTTATAGAAAAAAAAACAGTTTTAAATTAATTCGTGAAGAATTCTTTTCACTTGAATATTACATTGTATACTTTACAAATTACTTTTGTTCATTTTACTAGAATCTCTACAAACATAAAAATGTTCTATCCAATTACCATCCCATCTTTATCTTCCTCTTCACTGCCATGATTCTTGAAAAAGTTTTCTATACGTCTCTACTAGCAGTTACTCTTATTAATCTTATTAATCCCTTGCAAATTGGCTTCTCTCCCTAAGCCTCTAGAGAAATGACTCTCAAAGGGAACCAATGGCCTCTTAATAATAAAAGTCTTTTTAAAGTCCTCACCCTTCCTTACCTATACCCCACTTTTGACAATGTTTATACCTTGGTTTTAAAGACATGATACATTCCTGGTTATTTGACCTTTCTTAGCATTCTTTATCTGTCTTCACTGGTTCTTCATCTACTCCTTGACCATTTCAAGTAGATATTCCCCAAGATTATGACCTCTTCCCTCTTCTCTTTTCTCTGTAGTCTCTCCTGAAATCCCATTCAGTTTATGGCTTTAATCACTATCACTCTGCAAATGATTCATAAATCTCTACCTGTAGCCTTGGCCTCTCTCTGTAATACCAGAACTACTCCAATCCCCTAAAGAATATCTCCTTCTTGATGTCCTGCTAACACATCAAACTTCTTATCTTTCATGCTTATGCTTCCACCTTCATTGTTTCTCTTATGATACTAATATTTCAAATTTTACTACATATGACTCCTTTCCCTCTCTTTTTCTAACCAATTAGTTACTAGTCCTTATGGATTCTATTTATAGGACATTTTTCACTCCTCTCCCCTTCTATTTCTACTGCTACCATTCTAGGCCCTCATTACCACTTCCTTAATCTGCTGCAATAGCCTCCAAATAACTCATCTCGGCTTTAGCCTTTTCTCACTTTACTCCATCCCTAATATTATGATTATATTAGGCTTCCTCATCTAACCACCTGATCAGGTCAATCTATTAACAAGAAAACAAAATAAAACAAAAAATCCACAAATATTCAGTGGCTCCCAATTCCTCAGTGAATAAAATTTTGCCTGACATTCCAGACTTTCCACAATCTATCATAACCCTGCCCTTTCAGACATTTTGTATTACTCCTTTATGTGTATTCTATGCTATTTTGTTAAGCTGTAATACAATTTAGCCCCTTTGCAACATTCCTGTCTCTTTAACCATACTGACATTATTCCCTCTGCCATCAATATTCTCCCTTCCATATTTTCCTTTTTAAATTCTGACACAGCCTTCTAAAGTTTATCTCAATGTCAGCTCATCCAAGATGCTTTTTGTTTGTTTGTTTGTTTGTCTGTTGCCATTCTTGGTAATGGGTTTAGGATTTAGCTTCTACTTTGCCTTGCACCACTCTAGTATGTGTATGTAAAACAGAGTATTATAAGATACCTGGGATTATTTCTTATCTCTCAAACATACTACAAGATCCATAAAGTCAGGCATTATTCCTTATATAAATTTTGTATTTTCCCCCAGCATTGAGCATAAGATTTAGCATGTAGTATTTGACAAATGTTCAATTGTTGAATAATTAGTTCTAGAAAGCTATATGGTAGTAGTCTCGCACTAATTTACACAGTGAGTAACACTTGTTTTTTTTTAATTAACAAGAAATATATGCCTTCATTGAATCTATATCTTCACTCTTAATACAAATATACATTCTTCCTTTGAGTTATGGGCTTATTATGAATGAGCTAAAGAGGCAAAAAAAAATGCTTCATATGACTAGTTTTAAAAGCACACTCTTACCTTGTCTTTCTAGCTTGAATTTTCCAAAGTCTTTCCCATGTATATCACCTTGGAAGGTAAATCCCCCTCTTTCAAGCCCTGATGATACCTAACATACATGAAGAAGATGAAGTGTGAAAAAATGAATAATAGCAATCATTAATTTTCAAGAAACATCATCACTACTCCCAGTTTTCAGACTCTGAGGTATATCCATGAACTTACATGCCACTATTTTTAGTATTTATATGCATGTATAAAATAGTAACTAATACAAAGATGATACCAGACAAATGACTATAAAAGGTATGTGAATTTTTTTTCCTTAAATACATACATTTTTTTTTGTTTAAATCATAAAGCCATTAATATATTGCCGTTCAACCTCAATTTTTCAGAGTGGCAGGCAACAATGGGCAATATTAATGAGCAAAACACACAAAATATGTAAACTTTATTTGGGAATTAATTTATTACCAGAGGTAGCACGGGCTATACATGCATAATCATGGTAGTTGCACCTATATCCTGAGATTGTGAGCTGGCTTAGAACTTCAGCTGTAAGTTATTAGCCCAACTAATCATTTTCAGGAAATAAATTAGAAGATCCTGAACTTTTTCTTCATCTAATAATTGTCATGGGAACCTCAGATGTAGATCATACAACCTAGGGGAAAGCTTATAGAAAATGCTAGCATGGTATAGTGTATAAGGTTATATTATGTCCCCTCCAAAGCTCATCTTTGTCAACAAGAACTTCAAAGTGTCATTTGACAAAGAGATAACTTGTCATTATCAGAGGCAGACATATTTCTACTCAATGTAGAGAACTTCAACTATCTCTAAGATATGATTATTATTTCTTTATTTCATGGGTTTTTATTGAGTTCTTTTGTTTTATATCACCCGGATTTTCCCCTGTATTCCACCGTTTCCTTTTTCTTTTCTTTTCTTTTTTTTTTTTTTGGCAAGGCAACTGGGGTTAAGTGACTTGCCCAGGGTCACACAGCTAATAAGTGTCAAGTGTCTTGTCTGAGACAAGATTTGAACTCAGGTCCTCCTGACTCCAGAGCCAGTACTCTACACACTGTGCCATCTAGTTGCCCCTCACCCTTTCTTTTCTTAAGACAAATATTTTTTGAAGAAAAGGAAGCATGAGAGAAAAACTGCAAACTGAACAATATTTTAAAAATCTGACATCATATACAATGTTCCATACTGCTGAGTATCCCACCTCTGTTATTTCAATCCCACTTCAAAAGTAAAGTGGTTAGCTTTGACCAATAATTCATTTAATTAGAGGAGAATATGTTTTGTAGAACTCTTATATAGAATACTTACATAACCATCTAGTCCCCAGTTGTCATTTTCGAACTTGCTTACAAAAATTTCCACTGGTCCTTTAATCTGGAAAACTTTCAGAAGTAAATGAGCTTCCTCCTTCTTATAAACACCTACAAATGACATCAGGGAGAATCTATGAGAATAACTTCTCCCCAAAGTTATCTGGCTAACTGTTCTCTGCTTAGAAAGAATCAGATCTATAAACATTGACTTTTGAGGAATTAATTTTAATTTTAGACAACTTTTCAATATGCAAAATTGAATATTTGTTGGTCTTATCATGGGAAAACAGGAAGGATATCCATTATGCTTCAGTGATTTCACTGAAACTTAAAAGTTTCTTAAAAACTGCCATTTTCCAGGTAAATACTAAGGTTCTCTTTGGAAGCAATGAATGGAGGAATCACAACTGTGAAGATTAATGTTTTAGAATCAAGAAAAGGAGTATTTTCAAAGTTTCAGTTCAAAATTCTATCAGCTCTCAAAGTGCTCCAGTTTCTTTCCCATTTTAAATCCTCTTTATCCTTTAAAACCAACTGAAATGCAACCTTTTCCAGGATGCCTTCCATGATTATTTTATTGGGAAAAAAGCTCCTTCTTTCTAGTCTCATCCAGAACTCACATAATATTTTGTTATGCACTTCTAATAAGTTAATCATGAATTGTTGCATATTATATAGGGTGTTCCAGAAGTCTTACTGCAGTTTTAAGCTTTAGTAGTTCCATTATAATTGCATATATTCATGTTTTAATAGCTACACTAAGACTTTTGGAACAATCTGCAGTGGTCTAAGTTTAATTTTTATGGTGCTACCAGAATCGTGTCCTCCATGAAAACAGAAACCATATAGTATCTCAACTATATATCCCCCTGGCCCTCATAGTGAATAATACAGTTGTGTTTATATAATAGGCTTCCAAATAAACATTTGCTATATGAATGATATCAGTAAATTTTAGCTCCATTTATTTTACCAGCTATAGCACTTTTTCGAAATAATCTCATATTGAAGTCTGTTTTTCTAAATATTTACAAAATATTTTCCTAAATCTTAGTATCTTTCACTTGTCATTTAAAATAAAAATACAATATAAAAGTGTTTTCTTAAATTACACTTTTGTTCTAATATGAACAGACAAAAATGTACCAATCATAAACTGCAATACTGAACTAAGAACCAATTCATTTTGCATGGTCCACGCTTACTAATTTGTGTAAAAATGAGGAAGGGAGAAGGAATTTGGTTAAGGATCATATAATTACTTGGGACACATAAATTTTAGGAGGGATTATCCTCTTAATCTTCTAATAATGAGACATGATTTCTAGCATCTATGACTAAATTTACAAAGACTGATACTTGAAATTCAGTTGAAAGAACATTTTTTTAAAACTCTCATCAGAAATAACTTTGGTGAGAAGAAGACAGATTTGTGACATTATAACCTAGAGTTAGAACAGGTCTTCCGGTTCTAGCTAAGTCTAAATGGATAGCCCTACACTTCCCTTAAGAACTCCAGAACCAGTGAAAGGCATCTATTTAGAACAATGTGTTGTTGCTGGATTGTTTCTCAGTTGTGTCTGACTCTTCATGACCTCATTTAGGGTTTTCTTGGCAAAGATAATGCAGTGGTTGCCATTGCCTTCTCCAACTCATTTTACATACTGAGGTAAACAGGGTTAAGTGAACTTGCCCAGGATCACACAGCTAGTAAGTGTCTGAGGTCAGATTTGAACTGAGAAAGATGAGTCTTCCTGACTCCAGGCCTGGCAACACTCATCTGTTATACCACCTAACTACCTCCTTACTGGTATGTACAACCACACATTTCCTATTCTTAAATGTTCTGGTATAATTGGGAAGAATGTGTGACAGAACCCAGATCTCTTTGGAATCTAAGAAGACTACCTACTTATTCAATGGTGTGTCACCAATTTGCATCTTTTTTTGTTTGTAGAAAGTGAGGATAAGAGTTGGATTTTCAAGGTCTCACTGAAGACCACTGATCCATTCCATTAAAGAAAAACTGACTGCCTACTTTACAGTGTGAAAGTCTTTCTGGAGAAAATGAGGCCTAACTATAGGGAAGAGTGATGAATGAATAAGTGAGAAATTGTGGATGTTTGGTTCAGAGAATCTCAGAGGCAATAGTAGCTGTGAAGACAAACAAAATACACATGAAATAGAAAATCAACATGTGAAATCAGCATGAAGTTTAGTCATAGAAGAAGGATACGAGGAGTGAAGGAGGGAATATCAGGGAATTTATAGGAAAATGGGGACTAATTTAAGCATTTGGTACACATTACAACAGAATGCTTTCAAAATACTCATGAAATTAGTGTAGCACTCACCTGAAAGTTTTAGCTCCACGTTAGATCCTTCAATAAACGTGGCATTTACTTTGCTACTTGTTGCATTGAACCAGTCCACAGTTAAAGTTGCAGGGTGTCTTTTCCCTAAATACTCATAATAGCCTTTCCACACTGAGTTGATGAAAAATACATCGGAAGGAACTGAGAGAGAAAGTAAGGAAACATATTTAAGAGGATATATCATCACAAACTAACATTAGTCATTTATTTCTCCACTGCCTATGTTAGAGCTCCTGAACCTAGATGCCACAAAGAATGCCATTCATTCACCATGAGGGTTCAAAGACAGATGATGATTATGATGATGACAACAGTGACAACAACAAGAACAACACCACCACCAACAACAATGATTTGGTTTATTTCTGTGCCCCACACCATTATGTGTGCAAATGAACCTAATGGGATATAATTTCAAATAAGATGTCATGGTCTTGTAACAAACCCTTTACATTTAATTTTTAGATCAGCAAGCATTGAATCTGACTTTCTTCAGTGTATAATAATCCAAATATTGACATAAAGAAGATTTTCAAAAGGGGAAAATCACACTTTTAAAAAATTTCCTCTAAAGGGTTGGCCTAGACCATTTTTTTCTTCTAAATTACATGTAGTAAGTGGCTAAATAATCTAAAAATAAAAATAATATAAAGTTTGAGATTATTTATTAAAATGAATTTCCTGAATATATGCATAAGATTAATGACCTAGATTTTCAGGTATGGAATATTTAGTGCGTATGAAAATTTCTATTTAGCCAATAGTGCTCTAAATTCACCAAATAGCAGGTATTCTTCATCAATAAATCAGAGTGGCTCCATGTTGTACAGTCTTAGGAATTATGAAAACAAAAATCTTGCTACTGAACCAAAGAAAAATTTGCAAATGAAAGTGATTTATGCTTTCACTTGAAGGACAATGCTTTTAACATAAATGGCCATATATGTGAATTTTCACTTTTAAAAGTTATTACCTGCAGACTTTACATTTGACACATTTGCATACTAAAGAATGTTTCAATATTTCCAAAGTTTTGATTAGTTTTAAAACTCATTGGCTTTTACCTGCATAAGTAATACATAAAACTGATTTATGAAATCTATAATGGATTTTTATTAGAATTTTACCATGAATCTATGGTTTCATATATCTTAGGACCAAAAAAAGTAGTTCCTAATCATCATCTATCAGGAATGTTGAAAAAGGAATTCTTCTGATGGGCATGAAATTGGAATACACGATAGTTAATATCCCTTACAACTGGAACTTGAAATTGAGATCTGTAAGGTTTATTTGGTTTAAAATGAATATTAGAAGGAGGGAGAAATGTCAGTGGGCTCTCTTGCCCTGGATTTTTTTTTCCCTTGCAAAAGACAACTTCGTATAAGAACAACATCAAGTGTTAACACTCAGGATATACCAAGGTTAGTAAGGAATAACAAAGATTTTTTAAAACATATATATGTGTGTGTGTGTGTGTGTGTGTGTGTGTGTGTGTGTGTGTGTGTGTATTGGGGACAAAAGGAAAATTCAATAAGAGGTAGGGCTGTTTCTTGAAAACATAGGACCATGAGAAGGCAAAATAATGCTACACTAATTAAATTTCTTTTTTTTTCTCACCAAGAAGAAAGATCTTTAGAGTGAGGACAGAATCAAAATAGTTGAGGTAAAAGAAACCCAAGATAATGGAAATAATTGCTACGTTTAATGAGTTCAAGTGATGAGTTCTGAGGTAATTATGTATATTCTAAGATTAGAAGGATTCTTGGCTATGAATGCCACCTACACTTATTGAAAAGATGTAGAGAATAAGAAAGGTGCCAAAAGACACAAGTGTCATCCTTATATTCAAGATGGAAAAGTTGGTAGATATCTCAAACTATAGGCTGCAATGCTTGACTTAGATTCCTGGAAAAATTCTAAACCGTGTTATTAAAGGGAAGCTGGATAAGCGCTTAGAAAGGGAAATAATAATCAATAAGGGTGGATATGATGAGGATAGGATCATTACGAACAAATTATTTCAGACTAACCTCAGTTCCTTTTGTTACTGAGTTATTACAATAATACATCCGGGCAATGCCACCAATATATTATACTTGCATTTTAGAAAGGTAATTGACAGAGACTGCTATGACATTTTTGTGGATACCTTGAAGGAATAAAAGCTAGCTCATGGGAGATACAGTTTGAACTTGTGATTTCATTGGTATATGGAACTCCTAGATAAGGAAACACTTTCCAGTTATACAGGCTAGTATTTCTAGCAATTTGAATAAGAATGCAATTTGCATTCTTAGAGGGTTGTCTAAAACTCAGAGATATTAAGAAACTTGCCCAAGGTCAAATAGCCAGTATTTTTTCAGGAGTAATACTCAGACATGGGTCTTACTAGCTTTAAGGACAATTCTATTAACTACACCATGCTGTCCATAGATAATAGTATAATTAAGTGGATTGGAAGCAATTGAACCAGATCTAAAGAGGAGCAATTAATAATCCAATTTCAACCTGGAGGAAAGTCTCCAGGAGTGCAACAGAGAGTTCTTCTTAGCCCTGTGCTGTTTAAAATTTTGTATCAATGACTTGGCTGTAGGCATGCTTCTGCAGATAACATAAAATTGGAAAGAATGGCTAATGAAGTGGATGACATTCAGGATACAGAAAGATCTCAATAGTCTAGAATGGTGGGATGGAACTAAGGTGAAATTTAATGGACATTAAAATCCTACAAATTAGTTCAAAATATTAATTATACAAGTACAATAAGCAGAAACTAGGCTATCTATAGCAGTTTATTGAAAGAGAGCTTGGAATTTTAGTGAGCTCTAAATTTAATTTGTATCATCATTGTAACATAGCAACTTAACTGGTGATACATGAAAAAAAAAAAAGATTCCGTACCTCTAGCATATGTTCTAGGAAGCAAAATGTAATAGTTCAGATTTTACATTCATTTACCAATTGTCAGCATATGTGACATGTTGCATTTGATATTGTTATATGAAACAATTTTTAAAAAACAAAATAGGATAAGAATAACTGCTTGTAGTTACTTAATAAATGTCAATTGGTTGACTGACATTTACAAACTGTAGCGCATATGGTGGGTAAGTTAAATATGGATAGGGGACTATAAACCATGACATATAAGAATCAGCTATATTAATTATAGAGGATTAGTCTGGAGAAGAAAAGACTTTACGATGACATATCTGCCTTAAGTATTTGAAGGGCTGTCATGTGGATGAAGAATTAGAATTGTTTTACTTGCCTCCAAAGGGCATAATTGAGGGGCATGTTTGGGAGTTATAGAAAGTCAAATTTCAGCATGATATAATGAAATGATTTCCTAACAGTGATAGTTTCCCCAAAGGGGAATAGGTTAGATTTCAAGGCAATAATTTCCTTTTAGACCAAGATCTTCAAACTGAACCTAGGAAGACCATATGTCAAGCATATTATACAGGGGATTTTATTTCATGTATGGATTACACAAGGATATATCTAAGCTCCCTTCCAATTCTGAGATTCTATGATTCTATCTCGGTTTTACATTTTAAAACTATAATCATATTATTAATGTTTTCTATTGCTACTTAGGGATATATGTGTATGTGTGTATATATATATATATATACATATACATATATGTATATATATATATACATATACGTATGTGTGTATATATATATATACATATACATATATGTATATATATATATATACATATACATATATGTATATATATACATATATATATATATATATATAAATTCATTTTCAAAAGACCCACATTAAAGGAGAAATTCTAAGGGCCTGTATGGTAAGTTTGACAACACAAAGTGATTATTTGCTTTAATGTCTCAGAATCTAACATTCATTAATTAGCAAAGATAAACTATGATATTTTCAGTTAACATGCCCTTTGCCTAAGTCATAACATACAAATCAATTTCCACTATTCCATATATATGAACATAAACTAATTAATGACCATCAATGAATTTCAAATAATTAGTTTGCACCTCTGCTCACAGATCAGTTTTCAGACTAATGGACTATTTACCTATCTTCCCTAAAGTTTTTAGTATATCTAGAGTATTTATAAAACAAAGCAAAAAAAATTATAATCAATGTTGGGTTATAATGATCCAACCAACGCATAGTTTGTAATATCACTAGGCTTTCACCAGTTTTTTTTTTATTTACTTATTTATCCAAGAAATATTTATTAAGTATGTTCTATATATAAGGCCCTGAACTAAAAAAAAAAAATTTGGTTATTAGCCAAGAAGATCATAACACTAAACAATATATACAGACTCAGAATAGGTTGACTATTGTTGGTCATTAGCTTGAATATTATCTCCTAATTAGCAGCAATGTAGAGTTATTAAAATAACAGAAACAAGTAATCATCAGATGTCAGAACTGAAAGGGATCTTTCATCAGATGTCAGAGCTGGGAGGAACTAGCATCATCTGGTCCAACTCTTTCACTTTTGAAAAGCAAGAAACTTGAGATAAGTAAAAAGGAACAAGAAGAAAGTTTCCCTGAAAATGATATTTTAAGAGAATAAGATAATCATCTTTCATGATTAGAATTCATTTAATCATCTGCTAAATCATAAATTTGTTTTTATATTACAGTCTCTTGTTGGTTAGCCTGCAACAGTGGTTAACACTGATTTTATTGGGAGACCACACAGGCGAGGTGTAATTATGCTGGAAAAAAATATTTTGTCATGTTTGGCTTTCTAAAGACTAGTAAGATGCGGCAAGCTAAACTAATCTTTCTGGTGCCCTATGCATCTCATGACTTTGCAGGTGAGCCTGGTAAAATGGAATGACAGTATTCTATGTGAGCCTCATCCCACTGCATACATATTTAGGGCCATACTAATTATTACTTCATATCAGAGGCATTAAAAAGGAGATGCTACTATTGGCAATTATTTCCAAAAAGTAAAATTTATATCGTATATATGTGTGTTTTTCATAGGAATTGTATAATATCAGTTTTAAGTGAAGTCCCACAATTAAAGGAAAAGATTCCTCTTAAGATAGCCACAGATACCAGAAGATTCAAACAAACAGCAACTTTGCTTTGGAGGTCAGAGACTATGTTTTTAATTTGCTGCCAATTAAGCAAGTTCTCAATAAATATTTCTGAAGAGGTTAATACCTTAATTATATAGCAGTAAGAGAAGAAACACTAGGGAAGGTGAAGTAGTCCCACTGACAGTGCCTCTTCTCCATTTTCATAGGTTCAACTTTCCAGTTTACTTTGATGATGTAAAGTTGGCTTACCGATGAATCTTTGAATTCTGATATATGTAATAATGAGGTGCAATCCTCCTTATAAGGCTCTCCATTATAACACCTTGCCTCACAGAGGCATTATCTCCACTTCTGTCTACAAAATGCCTAAGACCTCCTTGAATGAAACAATATTCAGCAGTATCCAAATATTTGGCTTTTAGGCAAATAATTAAATAAATACTTTGCCATTCTGGGAGTAAAAGTCACAAAGTAAGCTTATTTTAAATTAGTGGTTTATTTAATCCTCTCAGTGGAGTAATGGAATCAGAAACTTATATGTTCAAAATATCATCATTATGTGTATATATGTATTAGTAGAGAACAAATCACTTAATTTTATTTATATCTAAAACTGTTCTGGTATACAAACCTGGAGTTTTAGTAACTGTTTCATTAACTTCTCTCACTCCTTTACCTACAAGTAAAAAGACAAGTTATCACTTTCAAGAACATACTTATTTTTGAATATTGTTGAAATAATGCTCAGGTGAAGCAAGTGTCCTTTCTCCAGATTGGATAAATTTATGAAATAATTAAAGTATAAAACATGTTAGTTGCTTAAACCCAGAATTTTACTTCTTTTTTTGGACAGGGCAAGGAAAAAGTAGTGAATTTAAAGGAAATAAATAAACTCTGATCCAAAGGATAGTGCTTCTATTTAAGTGAGAGTGCTACAACAGAGAGCCTTGTAATGAGGGTGGCTTACACAAGACACTTTACCAAAAATGTGTGCCCCAAATGAAAAGTTGAGATTAAATAAAATTTAGAATATGAAATTCATTTTGAAAAAAAAGGCACAAAAGAGACACAAAAATGAATTTACACATGAATGATTAAGGAAACTGACTTTTGTCCTTGAACATTTAGTGTGGACTCTCGGTTAGCTTAATTTAAAATCTCCTGCCTTTTATTACTTTCTATTAAAATGTGTCATGGCTTTTTCAGTGTCCTATTTCTTATTCTTAGGGGAGAAGGGCAAAAGTAACACAAGACTTTTGGAAAATTCCTATCTTGGGAATTAGTAACATGAAGCCAAGATTTAATTAAATTCTAAAATATTTACTTACATAGTTCAGTATTCAGTACACATACAGTCTAAAATTTAGATGAAAACCCAAAGGGTTAGTTGTCATTGAGTTTTGACCCAGAGCTGTTTTTTTTCTAGCTTGGGAAAACAAAATTTTACTGATAATTAATAATTTTCATACTAATTGTTTTGTGATTTAAAATAGCAAAAATCATGTCGTGGGTACATAGATTCAATGTCTCTCACTGAAACAGCTTGAGTGGCTTATGATATCATTACTTACAAAGTTTTCTTTAAGCATATGCTCAGGCCCTTGGTAAATTTTGTTCATTTTTACTTATAAAAAAATGCTTTCCCTTAAACATATATATAATTTACCTGGTGGAATGACTCTCTTCAACAAAATATCCTTTCTTCTTTATTTGAAATAGAGCAAATGATAAGATTAACACATATACATAACCTATGCTCTTATTTTATTAAATCAGCATATACAAATATACATATATATTTCCCCTTTTTAATTATTAACATACAATAAATTAGTATAGATTCCCTGGTGGTGTTTGATTTTGTCACAGATGTGGAAGCTATTCTGAATCATACTTTTTTTTCTTCAGACAATTATTCTTACTCTATGATCAATGACTTACTTTTACAAACAGGTGATTTCCCTGTCCATTTCATATCTGGTTTACATGTCCGATGCTCAGATCCACCCGCAAGAAAAAATCCAGGATGACAGGTATATACTAATGTATAACCAAAAGTAGGAAGATCTATTGCTCTCACATCTGCATGGGCTGGTGTCTCTGGTTGTCTGCATGCGTGAGCTGGAATAAATTTAATATTATTAGAAAGCTCTAAGGCAAGCATTATATTATAGCATATTAAGGATAAAGAATTTTTAAGGATTAAAAAGACTTTCTAAAGACATATACAGAAGTCGGAATGATTTTTTTTTTACTAAAAATCTATAGTAAGCTCATTTTTCACTAAAAATAAAATTGGGAAACAGTTGATAACCAGCAAAAATTTGTTTTGTACACACCAAGGGCATCAGTTCAATCATCATATGTTATTACTAAAGTTACAATTTTTTCACTGGCTGAAGAGATCAGTAATAATGCTTTTATATTATATTGTTAATTTTGTTAACCATTTAGAAATACATCCAAATAAAGTTGAAGAAATGGTACATTACAAAATCATTAATTGTGGTTTATGTTTGTTTATTATTAATTATAGGAACACCAGCGTTTCAAACTTCTAGAAACTTTGAACATAATATAAAAATACAATGATTTTGAATTTGCCATAAAATTTAAAAAATTGCCAATAAAATAAAAAAAATTTGCCATAAAAATTTGCAAAAAAAACAGTAATGGGAAAACTATATGTAATATGCCCATTAGAAACATTTATTTCCTCATTTTCATTCTAGTCATTCATAACATTTCAAATGAATTCACAAATGAAAATTACATATGAATTAACAAAGATCTATCAAGCATTTACTCTATACAGGTCATTCTGCTAGATCCTGGGTGTAAATGATTGATAATTTATTAAGTATTTACTTAGTGTTTAGGCACTAAGAAAAAACACAATCATAGTACTTAAGGAGCTTTACATTTTAATAGGTGCATTCAACATGGCCACAAGTTAAATAAATATAAAGTAATACAAATAATTACAAGAGGTAAAGTATCACAATAACTGGGAAAATGAAGACAGGCTTTAGGTAAGGGGTAGACTTGGAGGGATTTTAATGAATCTAGGGACCATCTGAATCCAAGGTGGGGTAAAGTAAATTCCAGGCATAGGGGATGGATGACCTATACAAAGGCACGAAGGTTGCAGATGAAATGTCTTGTATAGGGAACAGCCAGCAAGGAAATTTGACAAGAATGGAGAGTGTATGAAGGGGAGTCATGTGAAATAGTATTGTAAAGGTTGTTAAAAGATAGATGGGGAGGAGGGGAGGGACGCTTTAACTGTCAGACTCAGGATTTTGTATTTTACATAAAATGCCATAGGGAGGCACTGAATATTTTGGAGGGTAGGGGTGTCAGATCTATGTTTTAAGATCACCTTTAAATTATCTAATTTTATTTTAGAAAATATCTAATTTAATTTAATCTAATTTAGAAATAATCTAATTTAATTTTAGAAATTATGTAGAGGATGGAATGGAGAAGGGATAGACTGGATGCAGGGGGGATCAGTTAGGATGCTACTAAAATTGCCTACGCAAGAAATGATAAAGGTCTGAACTAATGTAGAGCCTAAGTGAAGAGGAGAGATTAGATGAAAGAGATGTGGAGGAGAATCAATATGAGAGGCTCATGCCACTCTAAGAAATGGAGTTGTGTTCATATTTTTATAGCAGTATTTATAATTTCTGCAATCTATGAAGCACAGACTGCTGAGCCATTAAAGTTATAGACAGTTGTATGTCTCATGTTTAATGAGACATATGTTTAATAACAAAGAGTATATTATCCCAGACTGATACAGTCAGTGCTGTAGAGTCTGACTATGCAGGCAATCGCAAAAGAGATCACTTCTGAAATCTACCCAATAATTAGATGAAGATTTTTTAAAACTGAATTATTGAATTGGATTTTTCATGTTTCATGTTGTCAAATGCCATTTTATTTTTAGAAATTCATTTGAATTTATTTGTTTATGCACACATATATTACTCAATTGTTGATGTGGCAATAGGCAAATGGGATCCTAGAGTTACTGTGTAAAGAACCATAAAATTTCAAAACTGAAGTTATTGAAGAATTTTAAAGGCTTCTTTGTTGTCATATTATACACACATGAGGATCAGAAAAACACATGGGAAAATTAGGCAGTAGGGAATAACCTGGGGCTTGAAACCTAGCTTTGCCATTTACTACAAATATGACTGGAGGCAAGTCTGTGCCTCAGTTTCCATATCTATATAATAAGAAGGCTTAGATTCAACAGTTTCTAAGGTCCTCTCCATCTCTAAACCTATGATGCCTTCTTTCTATTTCTATTTAAGTCTTAATGACAACATCATTTTTTCTAATAATTCAAGCTTGAACTTTGGAGTCCAATTTAACTTTTCTTTCTTCCCCATTGCCAATTTCCAGTTAGTTAATATTCATTCTACCACCACAGTATTTCTTTTGTATATATCTGCCCTTTGTCATTCCCTTGCATTTGCCACCACACCTATTTTAGTCCCTCATTACTTGTCAACCAGACTATTGCATAGAATCATAGGATTTTAAAGTTGGTACCCTGACTAGTATACTCACCTATTCTCACTTTCCCCTCTCAAAGCTCAAAACCAAGTCAACCAAACAAAAAACCTTTTGATGTAAAAGTCTGATCATGTCACTCTCCTTTTCAAAAATCTTCAGTGGCTCCCTATTGTCTACAGGATAAAATACTTAATCCCCACATTTGCTCTCTTCCCCAACCCCAGGCACACCCAACCAATCTTGCTCCTTCACAGATTTATTTCAACCTACTTCCTTTCGTTTATTCTATTTGTTTATTTCTTAACTTCATTCTTCCTTCTCCTTCATCCAGAAGTACACCAATTCTGCATCCCAAGCTGATAAATCACTCTCTTCATTTCCATTGAAGTCTTCAAGCAAAGAATGACCCTTGTCAAGTATATTATAATGTGGAACTTCTCAAATTCTGTGATATTCTTCTCTACTATAAAACCATGAAGCCTTCCATGAATGTTCTCAGTTGAAAGTGAATTCTCCATTACATTTGTTGTTGTTGTTGTTGTTACAGCTTTTTGGTGAGGCAATTGAGGTTGAGTAACTTGCCGGGGTCACATACATGCCTAGTAAGTATCATGTGTCTGAGTCCAGATTTGAACTCAGGTCCTCCTGACTCCAAGGCTAGAGCTCTATCCACTCTGCCACCTAGCTGCACCTACCACTAAATTTTTAAGAGCATTTTTAAAAATCTGTTTTCCCTATCACTTTCTAACTTTATCACACTTAGTGCATTTTTAAACACATATTTTCTCTATTAGGTTGTAAGCTACTTAAGACAGAGATTTTGTTTGTTTTTAAATCCTCACATTCTGAACACCTACCACAGTGCCTTGTACATAGACACTTGCCAAATTGAATTGAACAATGAGGGACACATATACAAAATAATAGCAATGTGCAGATATTATACTTGTCCTTGGACCGTAAACACTTATAGGAAATAGGCTATTTAATATACTTTCCCTTGACCTACGGGAAAAAAAAATACAACAGTTGTACTTTATTACCCTAGATGAACAGCTTATTGTACCTATACTTTCAAAAAAGGTAGATAGCTGCTTTTTAATAACATAAATCATACTTACGAATGCATTCAGTCTGTATGCCACTCCATGTTAAATTAGCAAGGCAAGAGCGTGTTGTAGAGCCCTGAATGTGGTAACCCTTTCTGCATCGGAAAAAGACAGTGCTTCCGACCTAAAAGAAAACCAAAGAAAAGCTTCAGAGAAAAAAAAAAACAACTTGAATTTAATAAAGATAATTAACACTTGAATGCTAATCAACAGTGATTGATTATATAGCAACATATCCTATATGTTACATTACATGTCATTTGTACAATGATATATATACAATGATAATTGTATACATTTTTACTTTACTATTTAAGTCATCAGATTTATTCTGTAAAACTAAACTGGGTCAGGTATAATTATAGCAGAGGTTACTGGATTTGTAAATCACCATGCCAAATGAGTTGAGGCATTATAATTTAGGAGTTTATTTAAGGTGGGCAAAAAAATTGTGTCTTCTCATTTTAAAGTGCCAGTTATCTTTTGTTTTTTAAACTTTGTGTGTGAGAAAGTATACATAAAATACAATTATTCAAATAATTTTATCATACAATTTGTAAATAACATATTATTTTATTTTATTCTCTATCTTCCTTCCATTGTTAATAGTTCTAATGTATTTTTGTGGTTTAAAATTATACTTTTTTAGAGAAATTCTTCTACCATTCCGGCTTGCCTTACTATATAGTAATCAATCAATATATATTAATTGAGAGCTAGCGCTATGTGAGGTACTGAAGCTCAGGCCTAAATGCAAATATCATTATAGATAATGTGTTATTTAAGGAGTTTTTGCTTTGTTTTTCATTTTCAAAACTATTGATTCCTTCATGGTATAAAGGAAACATCAATAGATTTAAAATAAAAATACTAGGATTCGAATTCCAGCTATGCCACTTACTACTTAAGTAACCAGGGTTTGGTTGCTTTCCCTGCCTGGATGAAGAATTTTTCAACCTGTAACATTAGAAGTTTATACTTTATTACCTTGAAGGCCCTTTGATATTCTAAATCTAAATTCTTCTTTGAGAGGAAGCTGGCCGACTGACTTCACAGCAACACACAAAAAGTTCTGAGACATGCTTACTCAGATACTCTTCTGGGGTCAGCTGCTAGGTTATTATAGGCAGTTTAGGTGGTGAATTAGAATTCTGCCTTTGGCCCAACTGTGATCAAGGTAATATAGGACAAGAGGCTTGGATAAAAATTAATAGCAATAGAGACATAGTGTTTTTAGAACAAGGGAAGTCTCTCCCATCAGGGTTTCTCTGGTGTTTTATGAACAGCATGGACTGCCACATTCTCAGACTGATAAATCAAGATGGGGAAGTTGAAAGACCTGGAGATAGTTAGCCTGGAGTAGATCAAGGGGATGGGTCATGATAGTTGTCTTCAAGTATCTAAAGGGCCTCCATAAATCCTTGTAGGGTTTATGTGTTTCAAGTAAATGAGTCCTTGAATAAGTATAAACCCATATTAATAGCTATATCTGATAGTAGATAAACAATCTGAGAGACAGTAAAATATAAATTAGGCTATTTCATTGCTTATTAAAAATAATTATGAATCTTGTAATAAGAAAGGCCTTAACATCAATAGGTAAGATGAGATATCAGATCATAACACTAATTGATGCTACTGTATTAGGAGATTTGTAATTAAAAAAGAAAATTAATTAAAACTTCATATCAGGCTACTTACTATCTGTACAATTGGGAGCAAATCTATTTTCATCTCTGGACTTTAGTTTCCTTACATATATATTGAAGATAATAATACATATACCTCACAAGGCTGTTTTGTGGTTTAAATGCAATCATGAGTATTAAACTCTCAGTGAACCTTAAAGAGTAGTTTAGTGGCAAGAATACTGTATTTGGATTCATAGTACCTAGGGGTTTGATTCCTGGTTCTGCTACTTCCTGCCTACGAAGTCTCTTTTAGCTACAAATTTATGACCCTAACGTTACATAAATAAAATCAGTCATTATTATTTCCTCTTTACTTACAGTGATCATTGTTTATTCTTGTTCCCACACTATTTTACAGAAAACATTGTGCCATATATGATTGCTATAAATATTTTACTATTATAAGCAACAGACTATTGAAGAAATAATGGAAGAAATGATGATCATGATGACCTTTTGGAAAAATACTTCTAGCAACAACTATATTCAGAAAGCAATTTTCAATGATGCTATATTTCACCCCATATTTGTTTCCAAAATCAGAGCCAAAGGAACTAAATGGAATTCCCACAATGTCAGTGGTTCTATCCTGTACCTGCTACTGCCTGTAGCAGACCCTGCCTTTATTGGACTCTACCCTTTCCCTAACAAGTAAGAGGTTTAAGAAGGAAAAAAAATTGAGAGGAAATATTTATCTGAATGTGGTCCCTGTGTTAAGCAGGTTTTAGTCACTAATTAATATATCAGTTATGTTTGCTATCTCTAACAGACTGGCAATTAATAGATAATAACAATGGAAAAATGAAAAAGGAAATATTACTTCTTATGAAAACAAAGAGGGTAGCTGAAGAGTCCACCTGACCAGGAGACGTATTGACAGGAAACATATGCTACCATTATTTTCTACAGTTGAATCTCTAATGCCTCTTTGCATTACTTCTATTTCTCCCTCAGCCTACCTTTTTCTTTTTATCTTGGAATCAACTTCTTCCCCACCTTTTTGTCCCCCTCAGTCTCTTTTTTACTTCTTACATGAACATTTCTGTCCTCACTCTTTCCCCAATCATCCTACCTCATACCTCTTCCCTGCTGCTTAAGCCATGGGAGCTCAGAGCCACTGAGAGAAAGAGTACTGGACTTAGAGTCAGGAAAGGTATGGGTTCAAGGCCTGGTTTTGACATTTATCTGCTATGTGACCCTGGGCAAGTCATTAAACATTCCTGAGCTGCAACTTCATTGTGCATATAATGGGAACAGTAATATTCCCAGAGTAGTTGTTAAAGACAATATAAATGCCTTTCCTCAGTAATTAGTGAAAATCTCTAATTCTTATGACCTTAAATATTTCTTGGCTCTGGTAAGCAAACCTTCTGCCTTATCTAACTGGGAACCAGGCCAACACACCATTTCCTGTGATCTCTCAACCATGGTCTCACCATCCACTCATATTCACCCCACTAGAAACTAAGATTCTCCTCCTAGATGTGTCCTTGTCTGATATGTGAATCTTTTTATTTTTTCATTTCTAGACAGGAACCAATCCACTAAAACCACTTCCTATATTCCTACAGTCTCCTTCTCAGGACTCTGACTTGGTACCCTTTCCTCTCTCCTCTCGAGCACCCCCCCCTTTCCAGAATTCTTTTCGATGTTATTTTCCTCCAATAGAATGTAAACTCCTTGAGGGCAAGGGACTATTGTTGGCTTTTACATGTATTCCCAGTACTTAACACAATGCCTGACATAATAATGCTTAATAAATATTTTAGCTAGCTAGCTGTTTGTCTGTTTTTCTGTCTAGTTATCTAAAAGGTTGAGTGTGCTGAGACCAGAGAGTACTTGATGTTACTATAGCAGGAACAATATATGTTTCTGGAATCCTAACTTAGAAATCTGAATATATTTTCCCATACTTATACATATTGGCTAGGTACTATAGTATGAATTGCATGGTATTAAGCTTTACATACATAAATATTACGTATTAATAATATGATTGATTCATAATTGGGTTGAATAAGCTTTTGTGGATTGACTTGTGAACCCAACCACTATGTAGCCATTTCAACCCACATTTACTAAACAATTATGTGCAACATACTGTGCTGGTATCAAGGATATAGATGGAAATGCACACACACACACGTGTGTGTGTGTGTGTGTGTGTGTGTGTGTGTGTAAATACAGCTCAGTACAAATATCTATCCTTTCATTTCTCCCATCTCCCTGTTCTAAGAGTACTATTTTCACTGTGGACTCTAGTCACTTTACTCCTCTCTGCTTTCCTAGTCATTCTTCAGACTCTGGCTTCACTTTCCTCTCTTTATGGTCTTGACCCTATAGTTAAACTGTTCCTCTATATGCATTCCTCAGCTCATCTCAATTCCACTCAGAGCTAAGTTCACTGTGGGCTTTGGATCTCTCAGGTGGTAAATGGCAGAGCCAGGATTCCAGCTAATTTCCCTGGCCTCCAAGTTCAGTATTGTTTATCTTGCACCTACTACTGCCTATAGTAGACTCTGCCTTTATTGGACTCTACCCTTTCCCTAACAAGTAAGAGTTTTGAGAAGGAAAAAAAAATAGCTTCTGTAATCCTGACAGCTAGGTTCCACCTCCTTGAACTGTTGATCTTCTGCTTTAGTTATCCTCCACTTTGCTTTCTTATTTATGATACTATTCTCTCTTGATTCATGCCTTACCTGGCTAGCTGTTCCTTCCTTAACTCCTTTTCAGGATAATAGTCATTGTTTCCTAAGACTCTCCAGTCCTGTCCTCTCATTTCCTCTTCTATCCCTTCTCTTGCCCTCACCTCCCCTTCTCTTCTCTTCTCTTCTCTTCTCTTCTCTTCTCTTCTCTTCTCTTCTCTTCTCCTCTCCTCTCCTCTCCTCTTCCTCTCCTCTCCTCTCCTTCCTCTCCTCTCCTCTCCTCTCCTCTCCTCTCCTCTCCTCTCCTCCTCTCCTCTCCTCTCCTCTCCTCTCCTCTCCTCTCCTCTCCTCTCCTCTCTTCTCTTCTCTTCTCTTCTCTTCTCTTCTCCTGTCTCTATCTGTATATGTTTCCCCTATCCCATCAATGGCCATTAAATTACCCATCTCTGTGTAGATGACTCCCATATCTACATACCTAATTAGCCTTTACCTACACCTTGAGCTTCATCTATATCTATCACATTATAGTCTATTGAATATCTCTACTTGAATGAGCTCTAAGGATCTCAAATGCAACATGTCTCAAGAATTTATTATTCTTTTCCTAAACTTTCCCAGCTCCCTTATTTCTTTTGAGGGCACCACCATTCTTCTAGTCACCTACATTCACAACTTTGGAGTCATCTAAGCTCTTCCTTCTCTTTTAGCCCCAGATCCAATAAAATACTAAATCTAATCAATGTTACTTAACTACTTTTCTCACGTTTGTTTCCTTCTCTGCATTGAAACTGCCACCACCCTAGTTCAGTACCTCATTAACCCTCAAAATGTCCACTGCAATAACCTTTTCATTGGTTTCCTTGTTTCTAATCTTTCCTCTTTCCAATACATCCTACATATAGCTGTCAAATTTATATCAACGATCAAGTCCTCTTTATATATTCTGAGTTCACACCAACTAGTCTACATACATTTTCTCAGGAATGACATTTTATCTCTTACCTTCAAAACTTGGCACAGACCATCCCCTATGATTGAAATGTACTCTTTACTCAAATCTGATTCTTGGAGTCCTTGAGTCTTTCAAGGAACTAGATCAAGTGCCAGCTCTTACACAAGATTTTTCCCTACTCTCAGTAAACAGTATCCTAACTCTCCCTTCCCAAATGGCTTGTATGCATTTGATATTTATCTACATACCTTATTTGTCCCCACTAGAATGCAATCTCTTTGAGGGTGGGAGATGTTTCCTTTTATTATTTATATTCTTAGGATGGTATCTAGCACACAATAGGTACTTAACAAACACTGATTCAATTGTCCTGATTAAATAAATTTTAACCAGCAAGTCATTCTTAAATTGGAGCAAACCAAAATAAAATACATATGTATATACCTCATAACCTCTAGAGCTGTTTTGCATTCCAAAATGTGGGGTACCAGGATCTGTGCAGGTATTGTGAGCTGGATCTGAAATTCAGAGTTGAAAAATATCATCAAATACAGTTATTAGATGTAAAAAGGAATTCTCTTTTCTAAAATTACTTTATAAGTTTTAAGAAATTCTGCCTTTGCCAGCCCATAATATAATTATTTCTTACTGAAAAGTACTTCTAATGAGAGAAAAAAAATATTTCAAGCAAAATTAAAGCAAAACTATCTTCACCCTTTCTTTAAACTTCACACATTACTTAATACTATTTTGTCAGATTGTAAACTGGTTGTCTGTACTGAAGAGTTACTTGAATTACTCATATGGCTTTGAGGGGAAGAAATTTATCTTAGTAGAAAGTAAAATGAAAACTATTAAGGAAATATAAGGAAGGAGTGGTCTAACCTCACTCTATTCATTCTCTCTATGATGAGTCATAAATTAGTGACTCTTAGAATATTAACATTATTATACTTCAGTATTTTAATGAAGCCATGATCTCACCAATATTGTAATTTACTTCAATAGTGCATCTATATATCCTTCTCTATCCAGTGACATTTTTCCCCACATGCTCTCATTAACCCTCCATAATGGGAAATCTTCATGTATAGAAATTCCTAATGAACATTTTAGTAATTTGTAAAACTAATTACTCTGATGCTATATTTAGTAGGCCTGAATCATGTGTCCCTTTAAATAGACCCTGATTATAATTTGAATAGCATTTATGTTTTCCTCCTCATTCTTCCTCAAGACTTCATAAATGACAACAAGGAAAATATTAAAGGTTTCAGGACTGAAGCAGATGGAAGCCCAACATGTAACATTTTCTCCAAATGTAGCACTTGAGCAATTAAAAGACCTTTCAGCTTCATTATTACTTATACTCTACAGCTGCCAATGGGAAAATGGAAGTGAAAAAGTCTTTGAAAAAAAGTTATCAACTAACCTCTTGGGGAAAAACAAAGTCTGCCCAACATACTTAGAACAACAACAATTAAAACCAAGTGATAGAAAATGCTTCCAACTTTAGAAAAGCTAGATCTTCAATGCGGTTATTTCTGCTGCAATTTTTTTTTTAATAAAGGAAATACTCTTCAATGGCTGATAATATCCAAGATCTCGAAGTGTTTACTAGAGAAGTGCATGTTGTCATTTGCTAGTGGTAATATGAAAAGCATATAAGAACCAAATAAATACATTAACAAATCAAGGGATAAGGAAGTCTTCACTTACTGCAAAAGCAAAGACAATTTGTTTAAATACATTCAAGAGCTGTAATTATTAACATCACTTTGTGTAGTATGTAGGATAGGTGAGTGAATGTGAGAAGCATGAGGTAGGGGAAGATAAAAATGACTGAGAAGAGAGACATTCTGATTCTTTAGGTGTATATCTCCCTCTCTGAGGGTGCTCCTTAGTCTAGATGATGAACGATAAAGAGGGGATGGGAAGAGAAAGGACCTAGAAAGTGAGGACAATGTAGCAAAACAATCAGTGGGTCCTTAGGTTCCCCAGCTTGGGTTACCATACTCATAATCCTAATCAAAATAGCATAGTATCCTGACACCAGAACCTTGATGCCAGAGAAAACCATCCATGAGACCAAAGGACTATAACACAATGTAACTAAACCTTGTTACAATCTGATATGGTATATGAAATTTCTTTGTCACAAAATAACCCATGCTATATTAATTCATTATTACCAATACATGTGGGTTGTATTCCACTCCAAGTGCCATCTGCTTGGCAGATTCTTTTTGAAGAGCCTATCAATATAAAAGGAGATTTGCACTGGAAGGAGACTTCAGATCTATAGATGAAGCTTTTTCCGCTAATCTTCCCCTCAGCAGGAGTGCCAGGATCACCACAGAATACAGCTAGTGGACAAAAAAAAAAAAAAAAAGAACAAGTAAGTGGGGAAAGCACTTGGGACATTAAAACACAATTTAGGCATGTTAACCTGTAGCTTAATGTTTTAATCATTAAGCTACAAACATTAGTCTATAGTTCTTTTAACCCCAACAGACTAGAATGCAACCAAAAGAACACAAACACTAGAAATCATAGCTTAATATTAGACTGCCTAATTTACTCTTGGTCAGTTAAATATAGCTCACAAATTTTAACGTAAGCTTTACCTGTTCCTACTTTTCACAAAAGGCTATAGAAGGTGTCATTTATGTCCTAATTAAAGGATATCCCTTACCCCACTGGTAAACATCTCAGGCAGAAGACACAGGATAAAATTAAGATGTTTCCCTAAATAACTTACGCAGACACTGTGGAATGTCACCTCTCCACACTCCCCGTCCTTCACAGGAAAGGATTGCTGAATTGGAGAGCTGATAGCCCTCAGCACAACTGTAGCTTATGCTGGCCCCCCAGCTGTAATCTGTTCCCTCCACTTTTCCATATTGGACTTGAGGGGGTTGACCACACATGACAGCTATTTCAAGAAGACAAATAACTTTCAGTGTTACATAGCCTCTTCTAATTCACATTCTAATTAAAACTCATATGGTACTTAATGTATATCTTTTAATGATAACAACTAAGGAAATGTTAAAAATCAGTGTTGGTTAACTATTAGGTGAGTTCTTATTACTTTTAAGAGAGGGAAAAACCACACACACACACACACACACACACACACACACACACACACACATTTCCCTTGGAAGACCATATCCCTAGCAGAGAGGACTTTGAGATAGTAAAGTTTCCAAGCAAAAAGCCAGAAGGATTTAAAGGACTGTGGGTAAGGAGAGTTTTATTTCCATTTAAAGTTTCATCAATAGCATCTGCTTTTGTCTTGCCACTGTCATATACATCTGTTTGGCTGATTTATTCTTTATAAAAATAAATAAACAAATAATTGCATAGAAATAATGAAAGACACAAACTGACTATTCTAGCTTTCCCAGTGACACCCTATAAATAATAATGAAACAGTTCTGTTGTGGGTTATTATTTGTACATTTGTAAAAGTTAAAAAAAAAACACAGACCTTTGCAGACTGGTTTACTTTGATTCCAAGTGCTCTCTTTTGTGCATCGGATTGTAGATGCACTAGCAGGTTCCATCAGATATCCTGGATTACACTGATAGCTCACAGTTTTATTAAAGGTAAAATCATTTCCAAACTGAATGCCATTTGCCAAGGTACCTGGATCTCCACAACTTATAACTATAAAGGAACACCAAAAGCAACTTTTTGTAATGTCTTTTTTTAAACCAAAAATATTTGAAACTTTTATTAAATAAATATGGTCTATTTTCAGATTATTTCCTTTGAAATATTGTGAAAAGTGGGAAAATCTGGTAATGTGTGTGTGTGTGTGTGTGTGCATGTGTGTGTCTGTGTGTGTCTGTGTGTCTGTGTCTGTGTAGGTTTGAGAGTTAGGACCGGGCCTATGCTTACAGTGGTTTTTCACTATTGGTGACAGATTGTACTTTAAGCCTGAATCTATGTCCTTATCTAGTCCCTGTTGTAAAAAGTATCATGCCCAGAAACAGTAGCTGATTGAGGTTATGGCTGCTACAGGCAGTGGCCACAATTCAGAGTGTTTTGCTCCATGAAGAACTAAGTTGTCCGTATAAGCAGGAATCTGAGGCATTCATCTCATCAACATCATGCTTTCAACAACTGGCCCAGCTCACCACAAAAACTAACTATGGGGATATGCTTACAATTTTTGAAATTATTTTTTAAAAAGATGTAAGATTTTAATATGGTTAATCAATAAAAGTTTTTGAATTAAAACAAAAGTTTTTTTCCTCTCTTCTACCCTTCCACTTAAGAAATGAAACAATGGAGGAAATTCTGTGAAAGTCAATAGCCTTTTCATTAAAAAGCCATTTATTAAAATTCATCATAACATTCTTAAGACTGTTGAATAAGTAAGGGCCTCACCTGTACAGTCAGGAGCTGTGCCAGTCCAAGTCCCATTGGCTGTGCAATGGCGAGTTGTCAGCCCTGAAGTCTTGTAACCTTCCCAACAGGCATAGATCACTGAGCTTGAGAAGAGTATTCCATCACTGTTTATTATCATGCCATTTGCAGGAGTGCCAGGATTTCCACAAGACACAGCTATCAGGAAAATAGGACACTCAAAATTAGTGAACCTCTTCCTGATACAGGAAGAGGTTTTTAACTTCGAACTCCCAGCAGCATGACTGCAATGTGGACCTGAGATGTATGTAAGGATTAGCTCTTCATTTTCATTGAAGAGTTGCAAATGTGAATACTAGGTGTTTCATATTATAGTTCCTGAACTGCATTTTAAAAAGAAAATTTAAACATAGGAAAGAGGAAATGTACTTTTTTGAGATTAAAATGAAAAGACATAAGATAATTATTTTACGTATTAAAACTAACTTTGTTACTACAGTAGGAAGAACACTGAATTTGGAGTTAGAGTACCTAGGTTCAAATCCTATACCAACACACGTTACCTTACAAATGTAAGTACACAATTAAGCAGGTTTGTTGGGGTTTTTTTAATATATATCATGCAGTGTTGTAGAAACTATTTGTTGTCCTCGTATTAGAGATACCTGCAGCTTTTTCTAAATGGTTACTTTAATCCTGCTGCTTTAGAGCAAATAGAAAATTTAACAATTTAACGTTTAACAATTGTGAAAATGTCTGGTCAGCTCCACTTTGCTACTCTTGAACAGCAAAACATTTCCTACCCCAATAATAACTCCTATCAGTTGGAGAAGGAAATGGCAAACCACTCTAGTATCTTTGTCAAGAAAACCCCAAAATGGGTCACAAAGAATTGGACTTTGATGGGGGTGGGGCCCTTGCTCAAGGTCTGAGTAGGAGCAGCCTCTAGAGCAGGGGTTTGGGAAGGAAATGCAAGAGGCCAGAGGAAAAGGGAAAGAAAACCAAGGGAAAGAGGGGATGGGCAAGGAGGTGGTGGCATGGGAAATGGGGGGAGGGGCATAGGGGAGAATAGGGAAATGCAGGAGGGGTCAAGGGAGAATAGGGAGCAGAAGGAAGGGTTGGGGAAGGATGGGGAGCAGAAGGAGGGGTCTGGGGGAATGGAGAACAGTTGGAGAGGTCGGAGGAGAATGGGGTGGAGATAGGTGCTGGGGAGGTGGTGCCAATGGAGGTTGGGATGAGGGGGGTGCCATAACCCTAGAAAGCATAAGAAGAGGATCATCCAAAAGGTCCATTTGATCCCCACTCTCCACTAGTGGGATGGCTCTAGCTATGAGCATCTTACAATCCTTTCTGAGAATGGGATCTCTAGAAAGCTCAACAAAGGCCATTAAGTAAGGAATCTCCTCCCAGTTTCTTTCTGTGTGACAATATTTTTCTAACTCTGAGAGGGTCTTTAGCAGTAATGATCCAAAAAGGGGCCATGCCTCATAATTTTCCAGGTGATACTGAGGCCAAACGGTGTTGCAAAAATGCACCAGCTTTTTCTTCTTAAGTCCTGTACAGAAGCTAAAATTTTTACAATTTTGTAAAAGACAGACCAAAGGTGAATTCTTGGGAATTGAAGAGGATTGACCTATTGTGGGCTTAGTGGAAAGGAAAAAAATTAGGAAAAAATATCCAACAGTTTCCTAATTCCCTAGTGCTGAGAGAACTGAGAGGATTGGACCTACCCTTCCTGATAGGCAGTCCATCCTCTATGATAAGGAAGGTATACCCAGGTCCAAGTGGTCAAGCAGAGCAACTGGACCGCAAGCCTGAGAGTGTCAGGTGGAGTTCGGGACAGCCTCATAGCTGTCTGCCCTAGCAGGATCTGAGAGGTCAGGCCTGAAAACACTTCCAAGGCAAGCTTGGCTAGCTGCTTGGAAATCCCTCTCCCAGCCACAAGACAACAAAAGAACTGGAGAGGGGGAGGCTTACCAGTCCTGGCTGAAGAAGAGTTTGAGATTTAGCAGTTATTTTCCGGTCAGGGAACCATATGAAGAGGTCTAGGACTTTTGGGGTGCTGCTGGGGGACACCCCAAGATTGCAGTACTGGGCCCTGCCTGAATGAATTCAACTTAAATCTTCTTCAACCAGAGGAAAAGTTTATTAGTGATAAATCGCATAGGCCAGGTGATGCCAGTAAGGACAAGCGGGCATGAAAACAGCTCAGCCTTTGGGGCATGAGAGATTCTCAGCCTAGTAACGCCCGTGGGGACGAGAGGGCATGAGAAGGTCTCAGCCTTTTGAGCCTGAGGTTCTCAGTGTCTGAATGGGGGCCAGGGTGGAATTTTTATACACTGAAGTAACTTTGGGTAGCCAGAGAAGGGGGCTGGGAAAAGAGTCTAGGTGAGAAATCCAATTGGAAGGTCTGAGAGAATGAACAGATAAAGGGAATAGATAATGAGAGGAACTAGAAGGAAGAAGTTTGAAAGGCCTAAGATCAAAGGGTACAGCTAGGGCTTTCAAAGGGAGGTAAGGGGAGTCGATAAGGAACCTGAAAGTTTAAGGGTTTTCCGGGTCCCGTAGACAAGTGGGAGTCAGATTCCCTTTGGGGCAAGGGGCAAAGATCTTGTCTTGGTCCCCGCCCCCATCAGACATGACTGAAAAATGACTAAACAGCAATAACAACAATCAGCTGAATGGCAAATATCCCCCCCCAAACTCCTCTTTTATACATGTTTGATTTCCCCTTCCTTTATCTCTCCTGTGAAAGATGTTAACTTCTTTATCCTAAATTGCTACAGAATACTGCTAAGTGGATCTGAAAGGTTACAAAAGGCAATGCTGACCCCTAGAAAGCTGAAGTTACTAATGTTGAGTAGTCTTCCTAAGCACATCAGTTTTTGGTTTTTTTTCTTCAGTTTAGTAACTCAAGTTATTTGACCTCAATTTAGTAGATCTACATGAAATTCTCCTAGGGCTCTCCAGGAACTAGGGATGAGAAATTGCCCCACACTACTATTGAAAACAATTTATTTCAAAAAAGATGTATTAGGCCTTTATCATATGCCAGCCACTGTGCAAACCAATTGTGACATAAGGACAAAACTTAAACAGTTCCTCAAGGGGCTTATATTCTGCTGTTACAATTAGCAAAGGTATAACTTTCTTAATGAAGGAGACAGATTTCTGAAAACCTGGATATCAATTAGACCATATTTTAAATGTACTAGGGGTATTTGCTATTTATTAGCTATTGTTCTATTGTTTCGGTCGTGTCTGACTCTACATGATCCCATTTGGGGTTTTCTTGGCAAACATACTAGAGTGGTGTGCCACTTCCTTCTCCAGCTCATTCTACAGATGAGAAAACTGAGATAAAGAGGAATAAGTGACTTGTCCAGGGTCAGCTAATAAGTGTCTGAGGTCAGATTTGAACTCAGATTGATGAGTCTTCCTGATTTCAGGTCCTGTACTCAATTCAATGTGCCACCTAGGTGCCATATTTGTTATTTATAGGAAACCTAAAACAACACAATTTAGAATAGGAAGAGATCTTATAGATTATCTAGCTCAGTGATGGGCCACATGTGGCCTTATAAGGGTATTTGTTCTGCAACGTTTGGATTCAAAAGGCTGCACTTGAGGACCTAGAGGGCCATACATGGTCTTGAGGCTGCAGGTTACCCACCCCTTTCTTCTTATACATTAGGAAACTAAGACCCAATTTAATTCACCATTAAGTGCCTATTACATCTAAGAACTATCCTAGACAATGAGGCTGTGAAGATAGCATGGAAAGAGAATTAAGCATTTACATAGCACCTACTATGTGCCAGGCTCATGGTATAAATGCTTCTTACAAATATTATCTCATTTCATTCTCACAAAAACCTTGGGGGTAGGTGCTGTTATAATCCCTATTACAGTTGGGGAAACTGAGGCAGAGGTTTTTTTTTTCCGTGTGTGTGTGTGTGTGTGTGTGTATGATTTGTAAAGGGTCATACAGCTAGTAAATGTTTGAGGCTGGATTTGAACTTAGGTCTATCTGATTCTAGACCCTGCCCTCTATCTCCTTTGCCCTTTTGCACAATGAAACAGTCCATTTCCTCAAGATGTTTATATTCTATCTTATGTATGCATGGATAAGCAAATAATAATATGATCTGAGGCAGAAGAGATCAAGAAAGACTTTCTATAGGTGGTGGCACCTGAGCCGAACTTTGTTAAGGAGACTAACAGGTAGCAGTGTAGAATGTATATGTATGTACATTCCTGCAAGAATGTGGAAGCAAGGGGAGGAATGTCAAGTTAAGTTACTTGCCCATTTTCGCATAGGTAGTGAGCAGCAGAGCCAAGATTCCCACTCATGTTCTAGGGATTCCAAATGTAGTGTTCTTTGCGTTGCCTCACATTCCCAATTCTTTTGTTTTGCTTTTCTTTTCTTAAAAACTGTGAATAATTGTATCTTAGTTTTGAAACCTATTTTGCACATTGTTTTTTCAAAAGCAAAGCCCATTTTGTATAGAATGAAACAACTATATTTTGATGGCATCTCCAACAATGATATTGTTAAAAACTGATGTGCTTTGCAGACTGTTTACGTTATGCACTCAACCCTTCTCTACAAGGATTTAGAGATGAGCCAGAAACTTTCTGCTGGACCAGAATAGCACAGTCCCTCTATTTCAAGGTGTTAGCTACTATAAAGATATAAAAAATGCCAGGTATAGAACCCAGATTTTTAGAGTTCCAGCTCAGTGTTTGTCTTATTATTATATGTAAAGAGGCAGTTAGATAGTTCAGTGGATAAAGTGCTAGACTTTGAGCTGAGAAGACGAGATCAAAACAGATCTCAGAAACTTACTAGCTCTATGACTCTGGGCAAGTCATTCTGCCTGCCTCAGTTTTCTCAAATATAAAATGGGGATAATAATAGCACCTTTTCCCCAAGATTGTTGTGAGTATCAAATGAGATAACAGTTGTAAAGTGCTTGGCACAAGTGTCTGGCACATAGTATCAGTTTTTGTTTTGTTTTGTCTTTTTTTTTTCACTTGTGTCCAACTCTTCATGACCCCATTTGGGATTTTTTTTTTTTGGCAAAGATACTGGAGTGGTTTGCCATTTCCTTCTCCAGTTCATTTTACAGGTGAGACAACTGCGGTAAACAGAGTTAAGTTACTTGCTCAGGATCACATAGCTGGTAAGTGTCTGA